GGATTCATTAAAAAGTACTTCCCTGAAAACAGTTCCCAATATGACTGGGTGAGAGATCCTTTCAATGCACCAGCTCCAACTGGTTTCAGCTCTGCAGAGGAGGACCAGTTCATTGATATGACGTCTGACTCCACATTGAGACTGAGGTTCACATCACAGACACAAAGTGAATTCTGGCTGAGTGTAGAGAGGCAGTATCCACTCTTAGGCATACTTCTTCCTCTTGCAACATCTTATCTTTGTGAGACTGGCTTCTCTGCTGTTGCTGCACTGAAGACCAAGTACAGGTCCCAGCTAAACATTGAGCAGGAGCTGAGAGTTGCAGTATCATGCTTCAAACCCCGCTTCGAAAAGCTGTGCACTGCAAAACGTGCTCATTGTAGCCATTAATCCTGACTTCCTCATTTTGATAAAAAAAAATCAGCAGAAATTGTTTTATTCATTTTTGTTTTATAGGTCAGTGTTTCATATATTGTGCTCTTGAGTTAATGTTGCTGATCAATTTGAATTGATTATTTATTGATTATATTTTATTTTATTTTTCAGTATCAAATGGTCAAAAAATGTTTACAGTTTAAATAAGGCTGGAATAATATTTTTTTTTTCAGGCAAATAGATGCACTTTAAGTATTTTCTGTTACATGCTAAAAAACAATGTTAATAAAGTTATTTCTTTCTTTTTTCTTTTTTTGTTTTCTTTAATGTTAATAAGGATACAATGTTATGCAGAGGTGTACTTATAACAATTTTATAGACAAATGATACTATTTACAGTCGTGGCGGAGAGTTGGGGGGCGCGAAATGTTTACTTCCTAGGGGGGGGCGTAACAGAAAATAATTGAGAAGCACTGCTTTAAGACATGAAGGTCCGTCAATATGGAACATTTCAAGAACTTTAAACGTTTCTTCAAGTGCAGTCGTAAAAACCATCAAGCGCTATGATGAAACTGTCTCTCATGAGGACCGCCACAGGAATGGAAGACCCAGAGTTACTTCTGCTGCAGAGGATAAGTTCATTAGAGTTACCAGCCTCAGAAATTGCAGCCCAAATAAATGCTTCACAAAGTTCTAGTCACAGAAACATCTCAACATCATTTTTTTCAAACTCAAGGTGCCATGTTATAGCTGACACCTCATTCTTTCAGCAGACATCTTTTGAATCTTAATTCAGAGCAGATATTTAAGAGTTTTTGGAAAACGTGGTCGCATAAAAACCTGAGGGAGATTTTACTGTAATTCCGTTACCAAAGTTTGCAACTGCACAGGGGGGGGGGGAATAGTGCCTACAGCAGTTTGATAGTCCCGACCCATACATAACCCAGAATGTCCTTATTTGACCCGCAGGACGATCCGGATATGGCTGAAGAGAGACAGTGGCCAGTACTGGCCCAGCATATACCACACTATGCCAGGTGAGTACTCATCTCTCGTTAGCTACTTATGCATGCATGGAGTTAAGCATCTAGGCCAAGCAACTCCATTGGCCTCATTTTGTGAGCAGTCGTCAGCTATTCTGTCTGTATGGAATCTGTTTTAGCATCTGTTCCAGTTTTAATAAAGTAAACAACCAGTTAGGCTATATTTCATTTTAACATCCTGCTGGGTGCCTTGTTGCCTCCACACACTTATATACACGCACAATTGTCTTAGACTTGTCATTCCTTTCTTTCGTAGCTTCTTGCTCCTGTATGTCCTTTAATCCAGAGACCAGGAGGCTGTCTGTGGGAATGGAAAATGGAACCATCTCTGTAAGTGACAATTTCTGTTGTCTAACTTACACTCCTCATGTATTGGCGTCACATACAGTGCATTCGGAAAGTATCCACATTTTGTTACATTACAGCCTTATTCTAAAATTGATTAATTAGTTTTCCCCCCCTCATCAATCTACACACAATACCCCATTATGACAAAGCAAAAACAGGTTTTTAGAAAAAATAAAAAGAAGAAATACTGAAATATCACCGTTACATAATTATTCAGACCCTTTACTCAGTACTTTGTTGAAGCACCTTTGGCAGCGATTACAGCCTCAAGTCTTCTTGGGTATGACGCTACAAGCTTGGCACACCTGTATTTGGGGAGTTTCTCCCTATTCTTCTCTGCAGATCCTCTCAAGCTCTGTCAGGTTGGATGGGGAGCATTGCTGCACAGCTATTTTCAGGCTTCTCCAGAGAAGTTTGATCGTGTTCAAGTCCGGGCTCTGCACTCAAGGACTTTCAGAGACTTGTCCCGAAGCTTCTCCTGCGTTGTCTTGGCTGTGTGCTTAGGGTCGTTGTCCTGTTGGAAGGTGAACCTTCGCCCCAGTCTGAGGTCCTGAGTGTTCTGGAGCAGGTTTTCATCAAGGAGCTCTCTGTACTTTGCTCCGTTCATCTTTCCCTCGATCCTGACTAGTCTCCCAGTCCCTGCCGCTGAAAAACATCCTCACAGCATGATGCTGCCACCACCATGCTTCACCGTAGGGATGGTGCCAAGTTTCCTCCAGACTTGACGCTTGGCATTCAGGCCAAAGAGTTCAATCTTGGTTTCATCAGACCAGAGAATGTTGTTTCTCATGGTTTGAGAGCCCTTTACGTTCCTTTTGGCAAACTCCAAGCGGGCTGTCCTTTGCCTTTTACTGAGGAGTGTCTTCCATCTGGCCACTCTACCATAAAGGCCTTATTGGTGGAGTGCTGCAGAGATGGTTGTCCTTCCTGGAGCTCTGTCAGAGTGACCATCAGGTTCTTGGTCACCTCCCTGACCAAGGCCCTTCTCACCCAATTGCTCAGTTTTGCTGGGCAGTCAGCTCTAGGAAGAGTCTTGGTGGTTCCAAACTTCCATTTAAGAATGATGGAGGCCACTGTGTTCTTAGGGACCTTTAATGCTGCAGATATTTGATGGTACCCTTCCCCAGATCGGTGCCTCAACACAATCTTGTCTCGGCACTCTACGGACAATTCCTTCGACCTCATGGCTTGGTTTTTGCTCTGACATGCACTGTCAACTGTTGGACCTCATATAGACAGGTGTGTGCCTTTCCAAATCATGTCCAATCAATTGAATTTACCACAGGTGGACTCCAAGTTGTAGAAACATCTCAATGATGATCAATGGAAACAGGATGCACCTGAGCTCAATTTCGAGTCTCATAGCAAAAGGTCTGAATACTTATGTAAATAAGGTATTTCTGTTTTTATTTTTAATACATTTGCAAAAATTACAAAAAAAACGGTTTGCTTTGTCATTATAGGGTATTGTGTGTAGATTGATGAGGAAAAAAACGATTTTAATCCATTTTAGAATAAGGCTGTAAGGTAACAAAATGTGGAAAAAGTCTGAATGCACTGTACCTTTTTATACCAAGCATCCAGCCTCAACCCTGACACACAGGCCTACCAAAGCTCATACCCCAGTGCCAGGGTCAGATTGGGGGCTGGTCAGGTTGGGCTGGTTGTCATGGTTTCATGTTTCACATCAGCGGGTCACTGAGTAGCTACTGTGTGTTACTCTCTCTGAGTCTTTGCTTCTCCTGACACCCAGCACTGATTGATACTCCCAGAGGGTGTGCATCTCTGAGTAATCTCTTGCATGATTGGGTAAGCAGTTAGGTGGATCAATCAACACCGGGATAATAAATATGCCTCATCTTCAGGAGTGGCTTGGTCACTCAGGCTGTTTCACTGGGAACATTTAAGCGGGTTACACAGTGCTATGAAAAAGTATTTGCCCCCTTTCTAATTTTCTCTACTTTTGCCTATTTGTGATACTAAATGTTATCAGATCTTCAACCAAAACCTAATATTTGATAAAGGGAATATAAGTGAACAAATAACACAACAATTACATATTTATTTCATTTATTTCATAAACAAAGTTATGCAACACCCAATTCCCCTGTGTGAAAAAGTAATTGCCCCCTTACACTCAATAACTGGTTGTGCCACCTTTTAGCTGCAATGACTCCAGCTGCAATGGCGAAAACCAAACACTGCATTCCACAGTAAGAACATCATACCAAAGGTCAAGCATGGTGGTGGTGGTGTGATGGTTTGGGGATGCTTTGCTGCCTCAGGACCTGGACGACTTGCCTTAATAGAAGGAACCATGAATTCTGCTCTGTATCAGAGAATTCTACAGGAGAATGTCAGACCATCCGTCTGTGAGCTGAAGCTGAAGCGCAGCTGGGTCATGCAGCAAGACAATGATCCAAAACACACAATCAAGTCTACATGAAAATTGCTAAAAAGCAACAAATTTGAAGTTTTGGAATGGCCTAGTCAAAGTCCAGACCTAATCCCAATTGAGATGTTGTGGCAGGACTTGAAACGAGCAGTTCATGCTTGAAAACCCACACGTCACTGAGTTAAAGCAGTTCTGCATGGAAGAGTGGGCCAAAATTCCTCCACAGCGACGTGAGAGACTGATCAACAACTACAGGAAGCATTTGGTTGGAGTCATTGCAGCTAAAGGTGGCACAACCAGTTATTGAGTGTAAGGGGGCAATTACTTTTTCACACAGGGGAATTGGGTTTTGCATAACTTTGTTTATGAAATAAATATGTCATTGTTGTGTTATTTGTTCACTTATGTTCCCTTTATCTAATATTAGGTTTTGGTTGAAGATCTGATAACATTCAGCATCACAAATATGCAAAAGTAGAGAAAATTAGAAAGGGGGCAAATACTTTTTCATAGCACTCACATTTATGCCCTCACATTTTTGTAATTGGTGATCTCTTTGGAGGTGTAAGCACGGGTTGCTGTAAAACCGTTTGTTATTATGTGTATGAGTGTGGGATTTATTTGCAGAAAAAATAGCCTGTCTAAAAATAACATGGATATAATTTAATAAAGCTAAGCACTTCCCTTTTTGCTTATCGTAAGGTCATTTTAAGCATTGGGTAATTTTGACCCAAAAGTATGTCCATATCAAATAAATATTGTGCTATTTCTTGGGAAAACCAGTGAGAGACATACTTCCTGTGTTTCAGGAGTTCATCCTGTCTGAAGACTACAACAAGATGACCCCAGAAAGGACCTATCAGGGTGAGAAGGGAAGTGTAGGCACAGGCTGTGTTCTCTGTGTGACTCAGCTGACTCCGGTCAATGGCAGGAAGGGATTAAACCTGACAAAATAATGTTTTTTTCTGTTCATGGCACTTTACTTGGTTTTATCTGCATACCTCTAGAAGCAATAAACTAAGATTGAGGATGCAAAGAACACCAGTCCATCTACTGTATACTATGTTTGACAATGTTTGGTCATATTTATTAGTATTTGTTATCTGTTTATTATCATGACATTATGTGTTTCAAAAGTGTGTGTGTGTGTGTGTGTGTGTGTGTTTTCTTTGTCAGCCCACCAGGGCAAAGTGACAGTGGTGCTGTTTGTGTTGGAGATGGAGTGGGTCCTTAGTACAGGACAGGACAAGAACCTCACCTGGCACTGCTCTGAGAGTGGAACGCCGCTGGGGTTATACCGCACCACCGCCTGGGTCTCTGGACTACAGTATCCTTCATCAGTTAAAAACCACCTATTCATTATATTCTACTCATTCTATTCACATGATGTTGCTATGCCACAGATACAGTGCCTTCAGAAAGTATTCACACCCCTTGACTTTTTCCACATTTTGTTATGTTACAGCCTGAATTTAAAATGGATTAAATTGAGATTTTTTTGTCTGGCCTACACAATACCCCATAATGTAAAAGTGGAATAATGTTTTTTGAAAAGTTTTCAAATTAATTAAAAATGAAAAGCTGAAATGTCTTGAGTCAATAAGTATTCAACCCCTTTGTTATGGCAAAGCCTAAATAAGTTCAGGAGTAAAAATGGGCTTAATAAGTCACATAAGTTGCATGGACTCACTGTGTGTGCACTGATAGTTTTTAACATGATTGTTACCTCATCTCTGTACCCCACACATACAATTATCTGTAAGGTCCCTCAGTCGAGCAGTACATTTCAAAAACTGATTCAGCCACAAAGACCAGGGAGGTTTTCCAATGCCTCGCAAAGAAGGGCACCTATTGGTAGATGGGTAAAAAACAAAGAAGCAGACATTGAATATCCCTTTGAGCATGGTGAAGTTATTAATTACACTTTGGAGGGTGTATCAATACACCCAGACAATAAAAAGAAACAGGGATCATTCCTAACTCAGTTGACGGAGAGAAAGTAAACTGCTCAGGGATTTCACCAAGAGGCCAATGGTGACTTTAAATCTGTTAGAGTTTAATGGCAGTGATAGGAGAAAACTGATGGATCAAATCAAATCAAATTTTATTTGTCACATACACGTGTTTAGCAGATGTTATAGCGGGTGTAGCGAAATGCTTGTGCTTCTAGCTCCGACAGTGCAGTAATATCTAACAATTTCACAACATATACCCAATACACACAGAAAAGTAAGGAATGGGATTTAAGAATATATACATATATGGACAACCAATGACAGTGGCATGGACTAAGATACAGTAGAATATTATAGAATAGAATACAGTATATACATATGAGATGAGTAGTGCAAGATATGTAAACATTATTAAAGTGACTAGTGTTCCATTTCTTAAAGTGACCAGTAATTTCAGTAGGCAGCAGCAGCCTCTAATGTGCTAGTGATGGCTATTTAACAGTCTGATGGCCTTGAGATAGAAGCTGTTTTTCATTCTCTCTGTCCCAGCTTTGATGCAGCTGTACTGACCTCGCCTTCTGGATGATAGCGGGGTGAACAGGCAGTGGCTGGGTGGTTGATGTCCTTGATGATCTTTTTGGCCTTCCTGTGACATCGGGTGCTGTATGTGTCTTGGAGGGCGGGTAGTTTGCCCCCGGTAATGCGTTCCGCAGACCGCACCACCTTCTGGAGAGCCCTGCGGTTGTGGGCGGTGCAGTTGCTGTACCAGGCGGTGATACAGCCCGATAGGATGCTCTCAATTGTGCATCTGTAAAAGTTTGTGAGGGTTTTAGGTGATAAGCCACATTTCTTCAGCCTCCTGAGGTTGAAGAGGCTCTGTTGCGCCTTCACCACACTGTCTGCGTGGTGGACCATTTCAGTTTGTCGGTGATGTTGTACGCCAAGGAACTTGAAGCTTTCCACCTTCTCCACTGCGGTCCCGTCAATGTGGATAGGGGGGTGCACCCTCTGCTGTTTGCTGAAGTCCACGCTCGTCTCCTTTTGTTTTGTTGATGTTGAGTGAGAGGTTATTTTCCTGGCACCACACTCCCAGAGCCCTCACCTCCTCCCTGTAGGCGGTCTCGTCATTGTTGGTAATCAAGCCTACTACTGTTGTGTCGTTTGCAAACTTGATGATTGAGTTGGAGGCATGCTTGGCCACGCAGTCATGGGTGAACAGGGAGTACAGGAGGTGGCCGAGCACGCACCCTTGTGGGGCCACAGTGTTGAGGATCAGCGAAGTGGAGATGTTGTTTACTACCTTCACCACCTGGGGGTGGCCCGTCAGGAAGTCCAGGACCCAGTTGCACAGGGCGGGGTTCAGACCCAGGGCCTTGAGCTTAATGATGAGCTTGGAGGGTACTATGGTGTTGAATGCTGAGCTATAGTCAATGAACAGCATTCTTACATAGGTATTCCTCTTGTCCAGATGGGATAGGGCAGTGGGCAGTGTGATGGCAATTGCATCGTCTGTGGATCTATTGAGGCGGTAAGCAAATTGAAGTGGGTCTAGGGTGACAGGTAAGGTAGAGGTGATATGATCCTTGACTAGTCTCTCAAAGCACTTCATGATTACAGAGGTGAGTGCTACGATAGTCATTTAGTTAAGTTACCTTTGCTTTCTTGGGTACAGGAACAATGGTGGCCCTCTTGAGGTATGTGGGAACAGTAGACTGGGAAAGGGAGAGATTGAATATGTTCATGAACACACCAGCCAGCTGGTCCGCGCATGCTCTGAGGACTCGGCTAGGGATGCCGTCTGGGCCGTCAGCCTTGCGGGGGTTAACATGCCTAAATGTCTTAATCACGTCGGCCATGGAGAAGGAAAGGCCACAGTCCTTGGTAGTGGGCCTTGTCAATGGCACTGTGTTATCCTCAAAGCAGGCGAAGAAGGTGTTTAGCTTGTCTGGAAGCGAGACGTCGGTGTCGGCAACGTGGCTGGTTTTCCTTTTGTAGTCCGTGATTGTCTGCCACATACGTCTCGTGTCTGAGCTGTTGAATTGCGACTCCACTTTGTCTCTATACTGATGTTTTGCCAGTTGAATTGCCTTGCGGAGTGAGTAGCTACTCTGTTTGTATTCTGCCATATTCCCAGTCACCTTGCCATGGTTGAATGCGGTGGTTCGCGCTTTCAGATTTGCGCGAATGCTGCCGTCTATCCACGGTTTCTGGTTAGGGTAGGTTTTAATAGTCACAGTGCGCACAACATCACCTATACACTTCCTGATAAACTCAGTCACTGTTTCAGTGTATATGTCTAAATTATTTTCGGAAGCTACCTGGAACATATCCCAGTCCGCGTGATCAAAACAATCTTGAAGCGTGGATTCGGATTGGTCAGACCAGCGTTGAATAGTCCTTAGCCCGGGTACTTTCTGTTTGAGTTTCTGCCTATAGGAAGGGAGAAGCAAAATGGAGTCGTGGTCAGATTTGTCGAAAGGAGGGCGGGGGAGAGCCTTATAACCATCCTGGAAGTTTGAATAGCAATGGTCGAGGATTTTAGCAGCGCGAGTACAACAGTCGATATGTTGATAGAACTTCGGCAGCCTAGTCCTCAAATTTGCTTTGTTAAAATCCCTGGCTACAATAAATGCAGCCTCAAGATATGTGGTTTCCAGTTTGCATAAGGTCCAGTGAAGTTCTTTGAGGGCCGTCGTGGTATCGGCTTGAGGGGGGATATACACGGCCGTGACTATAACCCAATAAAATTATCTTGGGAGATAATACGGTTGGCATTTGATTGTGAGGTATTCTAGGTCGGGTGAACAGAAGGACTCGAGTTCCTCTATGTTACTACAATTACACCACGAGTCGTTAATCATGAAACACACACCTCCGCCCTTCTGCTTCCCGGAGAGATATTTATTCCTGTCTGCGTGATGAACTGAGAACCCATCTGGCTGGACCGATTCTGACAGAATATCCCAAGAGAGCCATGTTTCCGTGAAACAGAGTATGTTACAGGCCTTGATGTCTCTCTGGAAAGAAATCCTTGCCCATAGTTCGTCGACCTTGTTATCCAAAGACTGAACATTAGCGATTAGTATACTTGGAAGCGGTGGGTGGTGTGCGCGCCTCCTAAGTCGAACCAGCAGGCCGCTCCGAGTGCCTCTCCTCCGCCAGTGATGTTTTGGGTCAGCCGCTGGAATCATTTCAGTTGCCCTGGGGTGAGCAAACAAAGGATCTGCTTCGGGAAAGTCGTATTCCTGGTCGTAATGCTGGTGAGTTACCGCCGCTCTGATAACCAATAGTTTTTCCCGGCTGTATGTAATGACGCAAAACACTTTCTGAGCTAATAATGTAAAAAATTATACATAAAAAAACAAAATACTGCAAAGTTTCCTAAGAGCTAGTCGCGAGGCCGCCATCTTCGTCGGTGCCAGGAGGTTACTCTACAATACTAACCAAATTGACTGAGTGAAAAGAAGGAAGCCTGTACAGAATAAAAATGCATCCTGTTTGCAACAAATGGTCTAGGTCCAAAAGGCTTCTTCACAGCTTCTACCCTCAAGCGATAAGACTCCTGAACAGCTAATCATGGCTACTCTGACTATTTGCATTGCCCCCCCCCCCCCCCCCCCACTCCACCCCAACCCCCTCTTTTACACTGCTGCTACTCTGTTTATTATTTATGCATAGTCACTTTAACTCTACCCACATGTACATATTACCTCGACTAACCGGTGCCCCCACACATTGACTCTGTACCGGTACCCATAGCCTTACTACTGTTATTTTATTTTACAGCTGCTCTTTAATTATTTGCTCTTTTTAATTTTTTTACTTAACACGTATTTTTCAAAAAAACGACATTGTTGGTTAAGGGCTTGTAAGTAAGCATTTCACTGTAAGGTGAATGTTGTTTTCGGCGCATGTGGCAAATAAAATTAGATTTTTTTTATTTGAACAAGGCACTGAAGTAATTTTGCAAAAAATGTGGCAAAGCAATTAGCTTTTTGTCCTGAATGCGGCAAATCTTATACAACACATTCCTGCGTACCACTCTCCATATTTTAAAGCATAGTGATGACTGCATCATGTTATGGGTATGCTTGTAATTGTTAAGGGCTGGGGAGTTTTTCATGATAAAAATAAACTGAATGGAGCTAAGCACATGCAAAATCCTAGAGGTAAACCTGGTTTAGTCTGCTTTCCACCAGACATTGGGAGATTCATTCACCTTTAAGCAGGACAATAACCTAAAACACAAGGCCAAATCTACACTGGAGTTGCTTACAAAGAAGACAGTGAATGTTCCTGAGTGGCCGAGTTACAGTTTTGACATAAATCTGCTTGAAAATCTATGGCAAGACTTGAAAATGATTGTTTAGGAATGATCAACACCCAATTTGACAGAGCTTGAAGAATTTGGAAAATAATAGACAAATATCGTACAATCCAGCTGTGCAAAGCTCTTGGAGACTTACGCAGAAAGACTCACAGCTGTAAACGTTGCCAAATGTATTGACTCAGGGGTGTGAATACTTATGTGAATGAGATATTTCATTATTTCATTTTCAATAAATTTGCTAAACGGTCTAAACATGTTTTCACTTTATTTATTTATTTATTTTACCCTTATTTGACCTGGTAAGTTGACAACGACCTGACAACGACCTGGGGAATAGTTTACATGGGAGAGGAGGGGGATGAATGAGCCAATTGGAACTTATGGGGTATTGTGTGTAGATGGGTGAGGGGAAACATTTATTTAATCAATTTTGAATTCAGGCTATAACACAACAAAGTGGAATAAGTCAAGGGGTATGAATACTTTCTGAAGGCACTTTATCTTAACAGATACCTGAGTGTGTCTGTGGCTTTACATTTCAATCTTTCAAGTGATAATGGCTTTTGACTGCGTCTCCTTCACCTCAAACAAGTGTATGTTTTTATAACAACAACGCACTGTGGCGTATACCAGAGGGGGAGCCAGATTAGCGTCCCAGTAGTTTTTCTTATTGGGGGACACTAACAATAGCCTTCAGTCATGTGGTCACCAAGGCAACGTTCCGGATAGATTTCCGTAATGGCTAGATGAAAGGTTTGGGTCCACTCCACTGTGGGGGGCACTCAATACCAACCAGCTCTGTCAGGTCATAAGACTGACTGCTGCTTCAAAGCCATGGATAAACACTACCCATTTTAAATACAACAAAGCAAAATAATGGCAGATTTCAGCTGACATCATTCACATGGCAGCCATTTTGTTTTGGCTTTGTTTGCCTTATTACAAACCCAAAGGAGTCACTGTCCAAAATTGTTGAAATTAAAGAAATCGACCTGGAACGTGTATTTTATTTAGTATGTCATCCAGCTAATTCTCCATAATAACCACAGTCCCGAGTTGGCCTGGGGTCAGATTAGTACAGCAACCCTTTTCAGAAGAAGGAGAAATTAGATTATGCTCTGTGAAGATTAGTCTTTTTTTCTCTCTGACTGTTATCGTTCTGGCCTCTCGTATCCAGGTCACAGGGAGAACTGTGTGTGCCTGGCTGCACCCTCAGAAGGTCACTGAAAGGACTTTCTTGAGCTCAGAGACTAAATACATATGATTTTGTAGCTAATGAACAGTTGACTGTTGTGGTACGTTCACTCAAATGGAATCTTAGATGTTTTTGTTGGAAATGTAGTCAGCCCTTCTCTGACTAGAATGAACCACATACAGATCAGATACAGTAGGTTTCAACCAGGTAACACTGTGAGAATGTAATAAATATGTGTGAAGTTGCTCAGCTGCAAGTGGTTCAGTTAAAGCAGTTAAACAATAACGAATTTTCCCACCCTTGTTTCGGGAAAAAGCTGAGGGATGGGGCTGGAAAAATGTAACTACTCTCAAATTCATAGACAGAGCTATGGATGCAAGGACTGACCATTCATGATATCACAATGATAGTTTTAACCATGTTTTGAGGCTATACATTTACTTTATTTACAAACATTTGAGTCAAACAAGCTCATATTTTGAGTTCTGATGCGGTACAACAGTTGAACTAAGCTCATGAGGCATTTATAAGTTATATTCTTCAAGAATCAATGGGTACATATTATTAATTTACAAGTCCAAAAATGAATGTAGCAACTGCAGATTGCCTTTTTAAACGGTCATTGCCACTGTCATGTTTTTGCTGGAGACCTTCCTTGACCGTGCCCCTCCCAGGTTCGATGTGGAGACGAGGCACGCCTTTGTGGGCGACTACTCTGGTCAGGTGACCATCCTGAAGCTGGAGCAGGACAGCTGTAGTCTGGTCACCACCTTCAAAGGACACACCGGTACTACTACTACACCCCACGTTGCAAGACAACACTCGTCCCCTACTATCCCATCCTCCACCAGCCTTAAAACACCAGCTGGGGGGGTTTGCCCTTTTGGGACTACTCCATTGGTTCCATTACGCAGAGGAAGCTAAATAAAGTGCTCCTAAATATTTGAAAGAAAACACAAATACTATTTTAGACCCATGTCTGGAAAAATCATGTAGATTTTCTAAATAGGTATATTGCCCACTGACCGTCCCTTCCGGCCACTCGGTCACCTGCCAGCAGTGACAGAGCTAATGAGCAGTGTGGGATATACACCCCGGAGGACAACCCTCACAGCTATGTTCTGATCTGGGGTCAGTTGTTGTAGCATAGTCAAATCCCCTACTTCCTATATTGACAAAAGAGCGTGTGACTGACAACTGCTGACAGCACCACTATTTCAGGCCTGTCTCTTATCAGTAGAGTTACACATTAGGTTTGAATATTTTCCCGGTATTTTACAAATGTTCCATCCCTAGAATAAATCACTTTTCTCCTGGGTAACCTGGTATTTCCCACCAAAACCGGAAGTGTCATTCAAAAGCATTATAAAGCATATAAATATGTCTGGATTTTATTAGAGCTTTGATCAGCATGAAAATTCAAACCTAATGCTACCTGAGCCTGATGAACCATATATGAAATACATTTTATGAGCCCAAGCTCAAAAAAGACCAAATGATTGTGCCGTTATCCAATACATATATGATATAGGCGACTGCACATTACGCATGACAGAAAAACATAAAAGCCCATAGATGTAGCAAGCTACATGCTCTCTTGGGTAAATAAATGAAACTAGCTCCAGTAGGCTAATCTTTTTAAGTGTGAACTGTATTACTGTATTGTATTATACTGTATTGTATGGACTGGAATTACGCACATCATTCAAACCATGATAAAGCAGAAGAGAACATGTGATTCTGGTGCAGCACATGCGGACTACAAAGTTACAAGTATAGGCTAGCGAATTTTGATTTTAATTTTCAAATATGATAAGGCCTATTTGTATAATTAGCAGGCTGACTCAATAATACCTTTCATAATATTTCCCCTAATGTTATTAGCCTACCTCCTCTTTCTCTCTCTGTTGTTTCATTCCTTCCTCGCTTTCAACAGTTAAAGGAAATATGTTTCGTTGTCCTTATCTTCATCATTCTAATGGCGGCCTTGAATAATATTGGATTATTATAAGATGCAGAAGGCTTTCACTTCTCTTCACGAAGATTGAATGGTTATGGGTCTGAATAAATAACTGCTATAGCCTATTGGCTGCTGTATGTAAAATTCTGCAAAAAAGAGCTTGCGTCTCTCTTCTAATAGTATATTGGTATAAGAAATGCTAAAAACAATTATGTCCAGCAAGCTATTCTAGTCTAGCTGTTCCTGCATTGGACACCAAGAGCTAAGGAGTGTTTTTTAAGGAGAGGCCAGCAGAGCACAGGTGGTTGCGTATTGCGCAAGAGACATAAGTATAAGTTAGAAGCAGCTATAAGTTAGAAGCATATAATACATCATTAATTAGCTCAATATAAGGCTAATACTGCATTGAATTTATTTCCTGAAAGAGGTAGGCTAGGATATATACAATGCATTCGGAAAGTATTCAGACCCCTTGACTTTTTCCACTTTTTGTTGTGTTACAGCCTTATTCTAGAATTGATTAAATTGTGTTTTTTCCACTCATCAATCTACACACAATACCTCATAATGACAAAGCAAAAAACAGGTTTTTAGGATTTTTTGCAAATGTAAATAGAGTACCAGTCAAATGTTTGGACACACCTACTCAATCAAGGGTTTTTCTTTATTTTTAATATTTTTTACATTGTAGAATAATAGTGAAGACATCAAAACTATGAAATAACACATATGGAATCATGTAGTAACCAAAAAAGTGTTAAACAAATCAAAATATATTTTCTATTTGAGATTCTTCAAATAGACACCTTTTGCCAACCAGCTTCATGAGGTAGTCACCTGGAATGCATTTCAATTAACAAGTGTGCCTTCTTAAAAGTTAATTTGTGGAATTTCTTTCCTTCTTAATGCGTTCAGTTGTGTTGTGACAAGGTAGAAGATAGCCCTATCTGGTAAAAGACCAAGTCCATATTACGGCAAGAACAGCTCAAATAAGCAAAGAGAAACAACAGTCCATCATTACTTTAAGACATGAAGGTCAGTCAATACAGACAATTTCAGTAACTTTGAAAGTTTCTTCAAGTGCAGTCGTAAAAACCATCAAGCGCTATGATGAAACTGGCTCTCATGAGGACCGCCACAGGAATGGAACACAAAGAGTTACCTCTGCTGCAGAGGATAAGTTCATTAGCGTTACCAGCCTCAGAAATTGCAGCCCAAATAAGTTAAGTCACAGACACATCTCAACATCAACTGTTCAGAGGGGAATGTGTGAATCAGGCCTTCATGGTCGAATTGCTTCCTCATCATTAAGCTCGAGGCCCTGGGTCTGAACCCCGCCCTGTGCAACTGGGTCCTGGATTTCCTGACGGGCCGACCCCAGGTGGTGAAGGTAGGAAACAACATCTCCACTTCGCTGATCCTCAACACTGGGGCCCCACAAGGGTGCGTGCTCAGCCCCCTCCTGTACTCCCTGTTCACTCATGACTGCGTGGCCAAGCATGCCTCCAACTCAATCATCAAGTTTGCATACGACACAACAGTAGTAGGCTTGATTACCAACAATGATGAGACAGCCTACAGGGAGGAGGTGAGGGCTCTGGGAGTGTGGTGTCAAGGAAAATAACCTCTCACTCAACGTCAACAAAACAAAGGAGATGATCGTGGACTTCACTATCCACATCGATGGGACCGCAGTGGAGAAGGTAGAAAGCTTCAAGTTCCTTGGCGTACACATCAATGACAAACTGAAATGGTCCACCCACGCAGACAGTGTGGTGAAGAAGGCGCAACAGAGCCTCTTCAACCTCAGGAGGCTGAAGAAATGTGGCTTATCACCTAAAACTCTCACAAACGTTTACAGATGCACAATTGAGAGCATCCTGTCGGGCTGTATCACCGCCTGGTACGGCAACTGCACTGCCCGCAACCGCAGGGCTCTCCAGAGGTTGGTGCGGTCTGCCGAACGCATTACCAGGGGGCAAACTACCCGCCCTCCAGGACACCTACAGCACCCGATGTCACAGGAAGGCCAAAAAGATAATCAAGGACATCAACCACCCGAGCCACTGCCTGTTCACCCCGCTATCATCCAGAAGGCGAGGTCAGTACAGCTGCATCAAAGCTGGGACAGAGAGAATGAAAAACAGCTTCTATCTCAAGGCCATCAGACTGTTCAATAGCCATCACTAGCACATTAGAGGCTGCTGCTGCCTATTGAAATCACTGGCCACTTTAAGAAATGGAACACTAGTCACTTTAATAATGTTTACATATCTTGCAGTACTCATCTCATATGTATATACTGTATTCTATAATATTCTACTGTATCTTAGTCCATTCCGCTCTGTCATTGCTTGTCCATATATGTATATATTCTTAAACTCCATTCCTTACTTAGATTTGTGTGTATTGAGTATATGTTGTGAAATTGTTAGATATTACTTGTTAGATTTTACTGTGCTGTCGGAGCTAGAAGCACAAGCATTTCGCTACACCTGCTATAACATCTGCTAAACACGTGTATGTGACAAATTTGATTTGATTTGAAACCACTACTAAAGGACACCAATAAGAAGAAGAGACCTACTTGAGCCAAGAAACACGAGCAATGGACATTAGACCGGTGGAGTCGGACGGCAGAGTGAAGGAAAAGCAGCCAACAAGTGCTAAGCATATGTGGGAACTCCTTCAAAACTGTTGGAAAAGCATTCCAGGTGAAGCTGGTTGAGAGAATGCCAAGAGTGTGGAAAGCTGTCATTAAGGCAAAGGGTGGCTATTTGAAGAATCTCAAATATAAAATATATTTTGATTTGTTTAACACCTTTTTGGTTACTACATGATTCCATATGTGTTATTTCATAGTTTTGATGTCTTCACTATTATTCTACAATGTAGAAAATAGTAAAAATAAAGAAAAACCCTTGAATGAGTAGGTGTGTCCAAACCTTTGACTTGTACTGTATATTTAAAAAAAACATATCACATTTACATAAGTATTCAGACCCTTTACTCAGTACTTTGTTGAAGCACCTTTGGCAGCGATTACATCCTCGAGTCTTCTTGGGTATGACACTACAAGCTTGGCACACCTGTATTTGGGGCGTTTTTCCCCATTCTTCTCTGCAGATCCTCTCAAGCTCTGTCAGGTTGGATGGGGAGCATCGCTGCACAGTTATTTTCAGGTCTCTCCAGAGATGTTCAATATGGTTCAAGTCTGGGCTCTGGCTGGGCCACTCAAGGACATTGAGATTTGTCCCGAATCAATTCCTGCGTTGTCTTGGCTGTGTGCTTAGGGTCGTTGTCCTGTTGGAAGGTGAACCTTCGCCCCCTCAGAGGTCCTGAGCACTCTGGAGCACGTTTTCATCAAGGATCATTCTGTACTTTGCTCCGTTCATCTTTCCCTCGATCCTGACTAGTCTCCCAGTCCCTGCCGCTGAAAAACATCCCCACTGCGTGATGCTGCCACCATCATGCTTCATCGTAGGGATGGTGCCAGGTTTCCTCCAGACGTGACGCTTGGCATTCAGGCCAAAGAGTTCAATCTTGGTTTCGTCAGACCAGAGAATCTTGTTTCTCATGGTCAGAGTCCTTTAGGTGCTTTTTGGCAAACTCCAAGCGGGTTGTCATGTGCCTTTTTTCTGAGGAGTGGCTTCCGTCCGGCCACTCTACCATAAAGGCCTGATTGGTGAAGTGCTGCAGAGTTGGTTGTCCTTCTGGAAGGTTCTCCCATCTCCACAGAGGAACTCTGGAGCTCTGTCCGAGTGACCATCAGGTTCTTGGTCAGCTCCCTGATCAAGGCCTTTCTCCCCCAATTGCTCAGTTTGGCCGGGCAGCCAGCTTTAGGAAGAGTTTTGGTGCTTCCTATCTTCTTCCATTTAAGAATGATGGAGGCCACTGTGTTCTTGGGGACCTTCAATGCTGCAGAAATGTTTTGGTACCCTCCCCAGATCTGTGCCTCGTCGCAATCCTGTATCGGAGCTCTACAGACAATTCCTTCATTTTTACTTTGTCATTATGGGGTATTGTATGTAGATTGATGAGGAAAAAAATTGAATTTTATCCATTTTAGAATAAGGTTGTAACTTAACAAAATGTGGAAAAAGTCAAGGGGTCTGTTTACTTTCCGAATGCACTGTATAGGGCAATACTTTATATCAATCTAGAACAGGATTATCTATTTTGGATGGAATTTGAATGGAGTTGAGGGAGAGACTGCGAGAGAGTGCTCGCGTGTGCACTGATTTAAAGCAACGATATTTGAGTGATAGGCTGTTTTAAAACTCTGCAGCTGCATAAAAAAATTATATAATCTTTACAATTAACAAACAAGGTGACCCCCGAAAGCGAGATGGAGATGTGTAAATTAGATTACTTTATATTACTGTAGCATAGGCTATGCTGCAGCAAATGTAGGCCTACCTGTCACAAGAAAAAAAGTTACCATGATGAGATGATGGGTCTACATGCATTGTGAACTGTGTTCCATACTGAGATGGGCTGTCTGTCCCCACCCTGAGCGTTGATGATTCATCTTGCAGAGGCCGTAGAGAAGCCAGATTTAGATATTGCATATAATTTAACAGTTCCATTTCACGCCATGCTGTTCATATAAATAATGTATTATAATTTACCGGTTTCTCTCAGTTATTTATCCCGGGAAAAGGGAGTGGTTTTGGGCAGTAAATCTCGGTAACCGGTTCCTGCCATTCAGTCCTATTACACGTTTGCCATTATGCAAATATCTGCCTGTTAAACACACCTGAGCATAAGTATTTCCCTCTGAATTAAACACGAGGGTGCTCAAGCATGGCTTGAGAGATTAATGGTGGTCTATGAAAATATAAACACTTATCCATTTACTCCCCCTACTCTGTTTGTGTTTACATGAGAGTAAACCCCCAGTGGCCTAAAGAGGCATTTCACTTATTTTTTTCAACATTCACTCAATGTGTCGTTGTATTTATGTTTTCAGTTGTCCTGCTTACTGAATGTGTGTACAGTTGAAGTCGGAAGTTTACATACACTTAGGTTGGAGTCATTAAAACTCTTTTTTCAACCACTCCACAAATTTCTTGTTAACAAACTATAGTTTTGGTAAGTCGGATAGGACATCTACTTTGAGCATGACACAAGTAATTTTTCCAACAATTGTTAACAGACAGATTATTTTACTTATAATTCACTGTATCACAATTCCAGTGGGTCAGAAGTTTACATACACTAAGTTGACTGTGCCTTTAAACAGCTTGGAAAATTCCAGTAAATGATGTCATGGCTTTAGAAGCTTCTGATAGGCTGACATCATTTGAGTCAATTGGAGGTGTACCTGTGGATGTATTTCAAGGCCTACCTTCAAACTCAGTGCCTCTTTGCTTGACATCATGGGAAAATCAAAAGAAATCAGCCAAGACCCCAGAAAAAAAATTGTAGACCTCCACAAGTCTGGTTCATCCTTGGGAGCAATTTCCTGAACGCCTGAAGGTACCACGTTCATCTGTACAAACAATAGTATGCAAGTATAAACCCCATGGGACCACGTAGCTGTCATACCGCTCAGGAAGGAGACGCGTTCTGTCTCCTAGAGATTCATGTACTTTGGTGCGAAAAGTGCAAATCAATCCCAGAACAACAGCAAAGGACCTTGTGAAGATGCTGGAGGAAACAGGTACAAAAGTATCTATATCCACAGTAGAACGAGTCCTATATCGACATAACCTGAAAGGCCGCTCAGCAAGGAAGAAGCCACTGCTCCAAACCTGCCATAAAATAGCCAGACTACGGTTTGCAAGTGCACATGTGGACAAAGATCTTACTTTTTGGAGAAATGTCCTCTGGTCTGATGAAACAAAAATATAACTGTTTGGCCATAATGACCATCGTTATGTTTGGAGGAAAAATGGGGCAGCTTGCAAGCCGAAGAACACCATCCCAACCGTGAAGAAGGGGGGTGGCAGCATCATGCTGTGGGGGTGCTTTGCTGCAGGAGGGACTGGTGCACTTCACAAAATAGATGGCATCATGAGGAAGGAAAATTATGTGGATATATTGAAGTAACATCTCAAGACATCAGTCAGAAAGTTAAAGCTTGTTTGCAAATGGGTCTTCCAAATGGACAATGACCCCAAGCATACTTCCAAAGTTGTGGCAAAATGGCTTAAGGACAACAAAGTCAAGGTATTGGAGTGGCCATCACAAAGCCCTGACCTCAATCCTATAGAAAATTTGTGGGCAGAACTGAAAAAGCGTGTGCGAGCAAGGAGGCCTACAAACCTGACTCAGTTACACCAGCTCTGTCAGGAGGAATGGGCCAAAATTCACCCAACTTATTGTGGGAAGCTTGTGGAAGGCTACCCGAAACGTTTGACCAAGTTAAACAATGTAAAGACAATGCTACCAAATACTAATTGAGTGTATAGAAACTTCTGACCCACTGGGCATGTGATGAAATAAATAAAAGCTGAAATAAATCATTCTCTCTACTATTATTCTGACATTTCACATTCTTAAAATAAAGTGGTGATCCTAACTGACCTAAAACAGGGAATTTCTACTGGGATTATATGTCAGGAATTGTGAAAAACTGAGTTTAAATGTATTTGGCTAAGGTGTATGTAAACTTCCGTCTTCAACTGTATGTCATTGGTTTTGTGTTGCGTGTTATGTTTCGAAGGTCAATCCTTGTGTCTTACTCTCTAGCTGCTGCCTGATCAAACTGTCTGTTAGATTAATGGGCTCCCTGGTATTCCATATTCTCAGCAACATTTAAATTGATGAGACATAAGTATAATACTGTATTAATATCACATATATATTTGAATGCCAACCTACACTCTGGGATTAAACTCTAACTGCATCCTCTTGGAACGTGATAGGAATAAATTCACCCCCCAAAAACGGTTGAGAATCCTCTCCCCTCTCAGGCAGCTCAAGTCAGATATATGTTTATTACAAGAAACATCTAACTGACCTTGAACATGAAAAATTATTTCTGGGAAACTGCTGAAATGGTAAAGTTGTAAAATTATCTCATTCTGCTCAGCAAAGGCATCCATTCAAACCGATGATATTCCTAAGCGACTATTACAGGCCAGACTCAAACTTCATTAACTTATTTCGGCAGAAACAGAGGCTTTAGTTATAAGAACGCAACAAAATAGCCATGAACTCTGGGATAAGTCCGACAGGTTCTTGGCTAATATGCTTAAACATAACAAGGAAAGGTCGGTAATCCACTCTATTAAAAACATTGAAGGTAATTTAGCAACCGATCAAGAAAATATTAATTCCACCTTCAAAGTCTTTTATTCCAAACTACACTGAGTATACCAAACATTAGGAACACCTTCCTAATATTGAGTTTCGAGAATGACACAAATGACACAATTTGCCTGGAAAATGAACTTAATCCCCAAAAAACATTTCCACTGCATTTCAGCCCTGCCACAAAAGGACCAGCTGACATGTCAGTGATTCTCTCGTTAGCACAGGTGAGAGTGTTGACGAAGACAAGGCTGGAGATCACTCTGTCATGCTGATTAAGTTAGAATAACAGACTGGAAGCTTTAAAAGGAGTGTGGTGCTTGAAATCATTGTTCTTCCTCTGTTAACCATGGTTACCTGCAAGGAAACACGTGCCGTCATCATTGCTTTGCACAAAAAGGGCTTCATAGGCAAGGATATTGCTGCAAGTATGATTGCACCTAAATCAACCATTTATCGGATCATCAAGAACTTCAAGGAGAGAGGTTCAATTGTTGTGAAGGAGGCTTCAGGGTGCCCAAGAAAGTCCAGCAAGCGCCAGGACCGTCTCCTAAAGTTGATTCAGCTGTGAGATTGGGGCACCACCAGTGCAGAGCTTGCTCAGGAATGGCAGCAGGCAGGTGTGAGTGCATCTGCACGCACAGTGAGGCGAAGACTTTTGGAGGATGGTCTGGTGTCAAGAAGGGCAGCAAAGAAGCCACTTCTCTCCAGGAAAAACATCAGGGACAGACTGATATTCTGCAAAAGGTACAGGGATTGGACTGCTGAGGACTGGGGTAAAGTCATTTTCTCGGATGAATCCCCTTTCCGATTGTATGGGGCATCCGGAAAACACCTTGTACGGAGAAGACAAGGTGAGCGCTACCATCAGTCCTGTGTCATGCCAACAGTAAAGCATCCTGAGACAATTCATGTGTGGGGTTGCTTCTCAGCCAAGGGAGTGGGCTCACTCACAAGTTTGCCTAAGAAGCCATGAATAAAGAATGGTACCAACACATCCTCCGAGAGCAACTTCTCCCAACCATTCAAGAACAGTTTGGTGACGACCAATGCCTTTTCCAGCATGATGGAGCATTTGCCATAAGGCAAAAGTGGCTCTCGGAACAAAACCTCGAAATGTTGGGTCCATGGCCAGGAAACTCCCCAGACCTTAATCCCATTGAGAACTTGAGGTCAATCCTCAAGAGGCGGGTGGAGAAACAAAAACACACAAATTCTGACAAACTCCAAGCATTGATTATGCAAGAATGGGCTGCCATCAGTCAGGATGTGGCCCAGAAGTTAATTGACAGCATGCCAGGGCAGATTGCAGAGGTATTGAAAAAGAAGGGTCAACACTGCAAATATTGACTCTTTGCATAAACTTAATGTAATTGTCAATAAAAGCCTTTGACACTTATGGAATCCTTGTAATTATACTTCAGTTTACCATAGTAACATCTGACAAAAATATCTCATAGCACTGAAGCAGCAAACTTTGTGAAGACCAATACTTGTCATTCTCAAAACTTTTGACCACGACTGTATGCCAGAAAGAGACGTGGATCCCCTCGAAATTAAACGTTTCTTTGATAATCTCCAACTTCCAGCAAAATCCTCCCCAGACTGTAACTCCTTAGAGACTGCTAACTACCAACAAATTTCACTCCGCAATTTTGGCAATTCCCTCGGCTAAAGCGCCTGGCCAGGACCGATATCCTATTGAGTTTTATAAACGTACCCTTATTTTCTTAATATTTTCAAATGTAGTTTTGCACGTATATTGCTCCAATAACCTTCTGCATACTATGAACACCGCCTTAATCACTCTCCTACTCAAATAAGAAAGACAACAGACTGTAGTAGCTATCATCCAATTTCTTTGATTAACATGGATTTTTTAATAATTTGCAAAGCGATAGCCAACAGATTAGAAACGGTTCTTCACAAAATAATACATTCTGATCAAACAGGTTTTATGAAAGGCCAACACTCTTCAGACTACACCAGGCGCCTCTTTGACATCATGCATCTCGCTTCCCAAACCAATATTCCTACCGCAGTAGTGACGTTGGATGCAGAGAAGGCATTTGACAGAGTCAATCTGACCTTCCTGAACTTGGCAATCAAGAAATTTGGTTTAAGTGCAATAACAGTGCCTTAGGAAAGTATTCAGACCCCTTGACCTTTCCCACATTTTGTTAAGTTACAGCCTTATTCTAAAATTGATAAAAAAATAAAAAAATCCTCAGCAATCTACACACAATACCCCATAATGACAAAGTGAAAACAGGTTTTTAGAAAATCTTGCAAATGTATACAAAATAAAAAACAGAAACCTTATTTACATAAGTATTCAGACCCTTTGCTACGAGACTCGAAATTGAGCTCAGGTGCATCCTGTTTCCATTGATCATAATTTCTACAACTTGATTGGATTCCTCCTGTGGTAAATTAAATTGATTGGACATGATTTGGAAAGGCACACAGCTGTCTATATAAGGTCCCACAGTTGACAGTGCATGTCAGAGCAAAAACCAAGCCATGAGGTCGAAGGAATTGTCCCTAGAGCTCCGAGACAAGATTGTGTCGAGGCACAGATCTGGGGAAAGGTACCAAAACATTTCTGCAGCATTGAAGGTCCCCAAGAACACAGTGGCCTCCATCATTCTTAAATGGAAGAAGTTTGGAACCACCAAGACTCTTCCTAGAGCTGGCTGCCCGGCCAAACTGAGTAATTGGGGGAGAAGGGCCTTGGTCAGGGAGGTGACCAAGAACCTGATGGTCACTCTGACAGAGCTCCAGAGTTCCTCTGTGGAGTTGGGAGAACCTTCCAGAAGGACAACCATCTCTGCAGCTCTCCACCAATCAGGCCTTTATGGTGGAGAGGCCAGACGGAAGCCACTCCTCAGTAAAAGGCACATGACAGCCCGCTTGGAGTTTGCCAAAAGGCACCTAAAGACTCTCAGACCATGAGAAACAAGATTCTCTGGTCTGATGAAACCAAGATTGAAGTCTTTGGCCTGAATGCCAAGCGTCACGTCTGGAGGAAACCTGGCACCATCCCTATGGTGAAGCATGGTGGTGGCAGCATCATGCTGTGGGGATATTTTGCAGCAGCAGGGACTGGGAGACTGGTCAGGATCGAGTCAAAGATGAACGGAGCAAAGTACAGAGAGATCCTTGATGAAGGACCTCAGACTGGGGCGAAGGTTCACCTTCCAATAGGACAACGACCCTAAGCACACAGCCAAGACAACGCAGGAGTGGCTTTGGGACAAGTCTCTGAATGTCCTTGAGTGGCCCAGCCAGTGTCCGGACTTGAACCCAATCGAACACCTCTGGAGAGACCTGATAATAGCTGTGCAGTGACGCTCCCAATCCAACCTGACAGAGCTTGAGAGGATCTGCAGAGAGGAATGGGAGAAACTCCCCAAGTAAAGGTGTGCCAAGCTTGTAGCGTCATACCCAAGAAGACTTGAGGCTATAATCGCTGCCAAAGGTGCTTCAACAAAGTACTGAGTAAGGGGTCTGAATACTTATGTGAAAGTGATATTTCAGTTTTTTAAACTTCTCTATAGCTCACCAAAAGCCTCCATAACTACCAATAATATAATCTCAAATTACTAAAACAGACCAGACAAAGCTGTCCAATGTCTCCACTTTTGTTTAAAACATTTATTGAACCCTTCGCCGCTGCTGTTCGCCAAAATAGCTCAATCATAGGCGTCCAATCCCCAAACATATCTCACAAAATAAGTCTCTACGCTGAAGATATTCTGAAGTTCGTACAAGAACCCGGTCGATCATTAGAACACTTGCTCTCAATAATCAACACATTCTGTAGTATCTCAGGATATCAATCAATTTTATTGGGACTCTTTAGCCAAAGATTTCTCCTTCAGATGGTTATCTCAAGGCATTGAATATCTCTGAGTACAAGTACCACACAGGCTAGATAAATTGTTTGAATATAATTTCCCTCAACTATTGAAATCGGTGAAAGAAGATCTCGAGAGATGGAACTCTCTTCCTCTGTCTCTTACCGGTCGTATCAATACAATTAACATTTATATTTTGCCGAAAATAAACTCCCTCTCAATGATCACCCCCCCCGCCCACAGAAATGGTTTGATACCCTTAACCATTCTATCTCAAGATTTTATTGGAGACAGAAAAGGCCAGAATTAAACTATATTATTACTACATTACAATACGGTAAGCCCAAAGGCAGACTAGGAGCACCAGACTTACAAAAATATTATTTGGCCTTCCAAATTAATAACATAGCCAAGTGGCTCACTTATCCAAGTGTAAACTCAACTTCCTGGATTGATATAGAAGACTCCTGCGTAAAACCACTTAAGATTCAAGATCTGCCCTATATTTTTCAATCTGTTAAAAAACTGCCCTTTTCCAATCCCTTCACATTAAATACACTGGAAGAATGGACAAAAGCCTAAAAAGTTACTAACACAAAACTGGCTCCTTCATTGAACTCTCCTATTTGTTCGAATCCCGATTTTCTAATTGCGGGGAAACCGTTCGAGTTTACTCTATGGAAGAAGAAAGGGATTATGTACATCTACCAGTTACTTTAATTTAAGTACTGAACAAAAATATAAACGCAACATGTAAAGTGTTGATACCATGTTTCATGAGCTAAAATAAAAGATCCCAGAAATGTTCCATACGCACAAAAAGCTTATTTATCTCATTGTGTGCACAAATTTGTTTACATCCCTGTTAGTGAGCATTTCTCCTTTGCCAAGATAATCCATCCACCTGACAGGTGTGGCATATCAAGAAGCTGATTAAATAGCATGATCATTAGGGCCTCCCGAGTGGCGCAGCGGTCTAAGGCACTGCATTGCATTACTTGAGGTGTCACTGCAGCCCCGGTTCGATCCCAGGCTGTGTCACAGCTAGCCGTGACCGGGAGACCCATGAGGTGGCGCACAATTGGCCCAGCGTCGTCCAGGTTAGGGCAGGGTTTGGCCGGCCGGGATTTCCTTGTCCCATCGCGCTCTAGCGACTCCTTGTGGCGGGCCGGGTGCCTGCAAGCTGACATCAGTCGCCAGCTGGACGGTGTTTCCTGCGGCTGGCTTCCGGGTTAAGCGAGCAGTGTGTCAAGAAGCAGTGCGGCTTGGCAGGGTCGTGTTTCGGAGGACGCATGGCTTTCAACCTTCGCAGCGATGGGACAAGACTGTAACTACTAATTGGATATCACGGAATTGGGGAGAAAAAGGGGTAAATGTACACCCCAAAAAATACAACAGGTGCACTTTGTGCTGGGGACAATAAAAAAACTCTAAAATTTGCAGTTTTGTCACAACACAATGCCACAGATGTCTCAAGTTTTGAGGGAGCGCACAATTAGCATGCTGACTGCAGAAATGTCCACCAGAGCTGTTGCCAGAGGATTCTTGTTTTAGAGAATTCTGCAGTATGTCCAACTGGCCTCACAACCGCAGACCATGTAACCATGCCAGCCCAGGACCTCCACATTCGGCTTCTTCACCTGCGGGATCGTCTGAGACCAGCCACCCGGTCAGCTGATGAAACTGAGGACTATTTTTGTCTCTAATAAAGCCCTTTTGTGGGGAAAACTCATTCTGATTGGCTGGGCCTGGCCCCCCCATGGCTGCGCCCCTGCCCAGTCATGTGAAATCTATCGATTAGGGCCTAATGAATTTATTTCAATTGACTGATTTCCTTATTTGAACCATAACTCAGTAAAATCGTTGACGTTGTTGCATGTTGCGTTTATATTTTTGTTCAGTATAGTTACAGAAAAGGTTTCATTTGAATAGCTCCTCAAGTGTTCAATACCTACAGATTGAACAGCTACTTAAATCTAAATTGCAATTCAACCCAAAGCAACAACATATCTCAGAGCTAAGCCAATTGCTCTTAGACAACCGGAGTTCAAGAAATACTTCCAAAATGTATAAAACACTGACAGAAGTAGGTGATACTCTATCCTCCCTAGAGAAATGGACCAGCGATTTGGACATCTCCCTTAACAGGGAAACCCAGAAGAAAGTATTTACCAGCGCCCACAGCATCTCATGTAATAAGAAAATAAATCTTATCCAGTACTAAATCCTACATAAATTCCACAATACCTATGGAACTCTGTGGCTGATGGGGCTTGTTGAATCGCTTCTGTGTCCATTCTACCAAAAAGACATTCCCGACACTCATCTCCATGCATTCTGGCTTTGTCCCATCATTGAGAATTACTGGAAAAAAGTTCTGAGCATTATCTGTCATCCTCCATATTACTTTTCTTTCATCCCCATCACTCTGTATACTACACTATTTTGATGATGACGACCCCTGTGTTTCTTCTAAGGACAAAAAAACTTTCCTATTGATTTCATTAACGATCTGAAGAAAAGTGATACTGTTGAACTGGAAAAGCAGATCCAATGTTTCAACCATATACTGGCTTAGTTAAAATAAAAATAGGGTTAGTTGCATTTTTACATCTGTTAAATTTGCTATCATATTCATGTTCACAATTTTTCATTTCTCAACCCTGTTGAATTTGTTCTGCAATTCTGACAGTCACTTTCGGCCTCTTTCCAAGAAGTAGAAACTCAGTGAGCCCTTTTAGTTTGTTTCTTGTGTTTGTTCTACTTGGTGCAGCCTTGACCAGGTCAAGTTAAAGATCCAGTGGCTAGGAATGTTTGTTACCTCCAGTATGATCTAAAGAATGTGTGTTAAGTGTTCTGCTGTCTCTAGGCAACGTGACGGCACTGTGTTGGGACCCGGCCCAGAGAGTGTTGTTCTCTGGCAGCTCAGATCACTCCATCATCATGTGGGACATCGGGGGACGCAAAGGCACCGCCATAGAACTGCAGGGACACAAGTAAGACTCACACACTGAATGTCAACATAGTCGTCCAATATAGTCTTCAGATGTAATCCCAATGTAGTATTAAAACCCCAATGTATTTATCTGTATGATACAGTCTTAGAAACTGTTGAAATGTCCCTAGTAGTGTCCTTAGGGATGTTTCTGTTAAGTAATTATCCATAACTTTAGGCTTGTACATGCAGTTGGAGAAGGTGTCTGAGTCAACTAAATGGAACACAGAGAGCATGTGTGGATAGAATGTATGAAAGGTAATCATCAAATCAAGCTTTATATACTGCATCCTCGTGTGTGTGTGTGTGTGTGTGTGTGTGTGTGTGTGTGTGTGTGTTTTAACCATGCAGTGATAAGATCCAGGGCCTGTGCTATGCGCCACACACACGTCAGCTGATCTCCTGCAGCTCAGATGGAGGCATCGTCATCTGGAACATGGACGTGACCAGACAGGAGGTGAGGGAGGGATGGACTGAAAGGTGGAGGGATGGAGCAGAAGGAGGGAGGAAGAGAAACCTCAAGGCAGTGAGACGGATGGAGGGGTTGTGTGTGTGAGAGAGACCTGAAACAGACCGAGTGGATTTAAACCATAGCCATAGATGCACAGACAGAGAGAATGACAAACTGAATGAAAATTTGAATTTATATGTACTGAATGCAAATGAGGTGTTCAGTGCCAACATGGCTGATAGTTTGCTGAATGTGTGTAGACTACCTATGGCTTCGTCTGGCTCTAAATGTCGCTCACTTAGGTTATACCTAAGCACTGATTCTGGGTCAGTTTCCTTTATTAACTCCTAATGGTTAAAGGTAGGATTGAGAAAGGGAAAGCTGCTTCTAGAGAAGTACTGTATTTAGGGTCTGTTTTCAACCTGTCTATCTGTGTGTTCCCTCAGACCCCAGAGTGGCTGGACAGTGACTCGTGTCAGAAGTGTGAGCAACCATTCTTCTGGAACTTCAAACAGATGTGGGACAGTAAGAAGATTGGCCTGCGCCAGGTACAGTGGGCTCCATACTGTCACTATCACTCTGGGATGTAGTTCACCTATTGTCCACAAGAGGGCAGGATAAGTCCTTAGTTAATGTTATTCCTATAGCAGGGTGAAATGCAGAAAAAACTGCCTGTTTGTGAGACTACGTGAGTGAGATATATGCACATTGTCCTTATCTGCCAGCCGAGTAGGCCCAACCCAAGCCTCAGTATCTCCTCTCCCCCAGCACCACTGCAGGAAGTGTGGGAAGGCTGTGTGTGGAAAGTGCTCTGCCAAGCGCTCCACCATCCCTCTCATGGGCTTCGAGTTCGAGGTGCGGGTGTGTGACAGCTGCCATGAGTCCATCACAGACGAGGAGTGAGTAACACACACACACACACACGACTGTGCACAAAAAGCATTGGTGGTGTGAAGTACTTAAGTAAAAATACACTACATGGCCAAAAGTATGTGGACACCTGTTCGTCGAACATCTCATTCCAAAATCCTGGGCATTAATATGGAGTTGGTTCCCCTTTTGCTGCTATAACAGTCTCCACTCTTCTGGGAAGGCTTTCAACTAGATGTTGGAACATTGCTGTGGGGACTTGCATCCATTCAGCCACAAGAGCATTAGTGAGGTCGGGCACTGATGTTGGGCGATTAGGCCTGGCTCGCAGTCGGGGTTCCAATTCATCCCAAAGGTGTTCGATGGGGTTGAGGTCAGGGCTCTGTACAGGCCAGTCAAGTTCTAACACACCGCTCTCAACAAACGATTTCTTTATGGACCTCGCTTTGTGCACGGGGGCATTGTCATGCTGAAACAGGAAAGGGCCTTCCCCAAACTGTTGCCACAAAGTTGGAAGCACAGAATCATCTAGAATGTCATTGTATGCTGTAGCGTTAAGATTTTACTTCACTGGAACTAAGGGGCCTAGCCCGAACCATGAAAAACAGCCCCAGACCATTATTCCTCCTCCACCAAACTGTACAGTTGGCACTATGCATTGGGACAGGTAGCGTTCTCCTGGCATCCGCCAAACCCAGATTTGTCCGTCGGACTGCCAGATAGTTAAGCGTGATTCATCACTCCAGAGAACGCGTTTCCAGGCTTCTTAGGCTTACAGTGGGGGAAAAAAGTATTTAGTCAGCCACCAATTGTGCAAGTTCTCCCACTTAAAAAGATAAGAAAGGCCTGTAATTTTCATCATAGGTACACGTCAACTATGACAGACAAAATGAGAATTTACTTCTCCAGAAAATCACATTGTAGGATTTTTAATGAATTTATTTGCAAATTATGGTGGAAAATAAGTATTTGGTCAATAACAAAAGTTTCTCAATACTTTCTTATATACCCTTTGTTGGCAATGACACAGGTCAAACGTTTTCTGTAAGTCTTCACAAGGTTTTCACACACTGTTGCTGGTATTTTGGCCCATTCCTCCATGCAGATCTCCTCTAGAGCAGTGATGTTTTGGGGCTGTCGCTGGGCAACACAGACTTTCAACTCCCTCCAAAGATTTTCTATGGGGTTGAGATCTGGAGACTGGCTAGGCCACTCCAGGACCTTGAAATGCTTCTTACGAAGCCACTCCTTCGTTGCCCGGGCGGTGTGTTTGGGATCATTGTCATGCTGAAAGACCCAGCCACGTTTCATCTTCAATGCCCTTGCTGATGGAAGGAGGTTTTCACTCAAAATCTCACGATACATGGCCCCATTCATTCATTCCTTTACACGGATCAGTCGTCCTGGTCCCTTTGCAGAAAAACAGCCCCAAAGCATGATGTTTCCACCCCCATGCTTCACAGTAGGTTCTTTGGATGCAACTCAGCATTCTTTGTCCTCCAAACACGACGAGTTGAGTTTTTACCAAAAAGTTCTATTTTGGTTTCATCTGACCATATGACATTCTCCCAATCCTCTTCTGGATCATCCAAATGCACTCTAGCAAACTTCAGACGGGCCTGGACATGTACTGGCTTAAGCAGGGGGACACGTCTGGTACTGCAGGATTTGAGTCCCTGGCGGCATAGTGTGTTACTGATGGTAGGCTTTGTTACTTTGGTCCCAGCTCTCTGCAGGTCATTCACTAGGTCCCCCCGTGTGGTTCTGGGATTTTTGCTCACCGTTCTTGTGATCATTTTGACCCCACGGGGTGAGATCTTGCGTGGAGCCCCAGATCGAGGGAGATTATCAGTGGTCTTGTATGTCTTCCATTTCCTAATAATTGCTCCCACAGTTGATTTCTTCAAACCAAGCTGCTTACCTATTGCAGATTCAGTCTTCCCAGCCTGGTGCAGGTCTACAATTTTGTTTCTGGTGTCCTTTGACAGCTCTTTGGTCTTGGCCATAGTGGAGTTTGGAGTGTGACTGTTTGAGGTTGTGGACAGGTGTCTTTTATACTGATAACAAGTTCAAACAGGTGCCATTAATACAGGTAATAAGTGGAGGACAGAGGAGCCTCTTAAAGAAGAAGTTACAGGTCTGTGAGAGCCAGAAATCTTGCTTGTTTGTAGGTGACTAAATACTTATTTTCCACCATAATTTGCAAATAAATTCATTAAAAATCCTACAATGTGATTTTCTGGATTTTTTTTCCTCAATTTGTCTGTCATAGTTGACGTGTACCTATGATGAAAATTACAGGCCTCTCATCTTTTTAAGTGGGAGAACTTGCACAATTGGTGGCTGACTAAATACTTTTTTCCCCCACTGTATGTACGGCTGTTCGGCCATTGAAACCCATTTCATGAAGCTCCTGACGAACAGTTCTTGTGCTGACGTTGCTTCCAGAGGCATTTTGGAAATCGGTAGGGAGTGTTGCAACCGAAGACAGACGATTTTTACGCGCTTCAGCACTCAGCGTTCCCGTTCTGTGAGCTTGTGTGGCCTACCACTTCGCGGCTGAGCCGTTGTTGCTCTTAGACGTTTCCACTGCACAATAACAGCACTTACAGTTGACCGGGGCAGCTCTAGCAGGGCAGACATTTTACGAACTGACTTGTTAGGAAGGTGGCATCCTGCCTCCTGAGTGGCGCAGCAGTCTAAGGCACTGCATCGCAGTGCTTGAGGCGTCACTATAGACCCGGGTTCGATCCCGGGCTGTTTCGCAGCCGGCCGCGACCGGGAGACCCATGAGGCGGCGCACAATTGGCCCAGCGTCATCCGGGTTAGGGGAGGGTTTGGCCGACCGGGATGTCCTCCTTGTCCCATCGCGCTCTAGCGACTTGTGGCGGGCCGGGCACATGCACGCTGACTTCGGTCGCCAGTTGTACGGTGTTTCCTTCGACACATTGGTGCGGCTGGCTTCCGGGTTAAGCGAGCAGTGTGTCATGAAGCAGTGCGGCTTGGCAGGGTCGTGTTTCGGAGGATGCATGGCTCTCAACAAGACTAACTACCAATTGGATATCACAAAATTGGGGAGAAAAAGGGGTAAAAAATTAAAATACAATACAAAAATAATAATAATAAAGGTGGCATCCTATGATGGTGCCACGTTGAAAGTCTCTGAGCTCTTCAGTAAGGCCATTCTACTGCCAGTGTTTGTCTATGGAGATTGATTGCTGGTGTACTTGATTTTATACACCTGTCAGCAATGGATGTGGCTGAAATAGCCGAATCCACTCATTTGAAGGGGTGGCCACATACTTTTGTATATATAGTGTACTTTAAAGTACTATTTAATTCGTGTTTTGGGGTATCTGTACTTTACTATTAAAATCTTTGACAACTTAAACTTTTTCTCCACTACATTCCTAAAGAAAATAATGTATACTAAACCAAAATATAAATGCAACATGCAACAATTTGAAAGATTTTACTGAGTTACAGTTCATATAAGGAAATCAGGTAATTTAAATAAATAAATTAGGCCCTAATCTATGGATTTCACATGACTGGGCAGGGGAGCTGTCTTGGGTGGGCCTGGGAGGGCATAGGCCCAGCCAATCATAATGAGTTTTTCCCCACAAAAGGGCTTTATTAAAGACAGAAATACTCCTCAACACAACGTGCACCTGTACTTTGAGCCAGGAGAGATTTGATATGTATTTTGTTGATATTAGCCCTCTATGCACATTTAAGGGCCAGAGGTGTTGCTCTGTTCTGGGCCAACTGTAATTTTCCTATGTTCTTCTTTGCAGCACTATACCATATAACTGGGCACTAGTCCAGGTATGATAAAATTAGGGCTTGTAGGATATTTGGTCGATTGTGATCACGGACAGACCTCTCCCCATCTTAGCTACAGTACAGTTCCATCTATGTTTTGACCATGTCATCTTAGAATCTAGGGTTACACCAAGCAGTTTAGTCTCCTCAACTTGCTCAATCACCACATTATTTATTATTAAATTTAGATGAGGTTTAGGGTTGTCCCCAACACAATGCTTTTAGTTTAACATTTGATTTAGGACTAGCCATCCACTCTAATACTGACTGCAGCTCTTTGAATGGTTGCAGTGATTTCACATGCTTTGGTAGCTGAAGTATAATGTTGAGTCATTGGTGTACATACACACAGGCTTCATTCAATGCTAGTGGTAGGTCATTAGTAAAAATAGAGACCAGTAGGGGTCCATGACAGCTGCCTTGAGGAATACCACACTCTACCCGGTTTACATTAGAGGTTTCCATTAAAGAAAACCCTCTGTGTTATATTTAGATAGGGAGCAGAGTACAGTGCATTCGGAAAGTATTCAGACCCCTTGACTTTACAGTCTTACTCTAAAATAGATTAAATCATTTTTTTCCCTCATCAATCTACACACAAGGCCCCATAATGACAAAGCAAAACCAGGTTTTTAGAAATGTTTGCATTTTTTTTTTCACTGATATCACATTTACATAATTATTCAGACCCTTTACTCAGTACTTTGTTGAAGCACCTTTGGCAGCGATTACAGCCTCGTCTTATTGGGTATGACGCTACAAGCTTGGCGCACCTGTATTTGGGGAGTTTCTCCCATTCTACTCTGCAGATCCTCTAAAGCTCTGTCAGGTTGGATGGGGAGCGTCGCTGCACAGCTATTCTCAGGTCTCTCCAGAGATGTTAGATCGGGTTCATGTCCGGGCTCTGGTTGGGCCACTCAAGGAAATTCAGAGACTTGTCCTGAAGCCACTCCTGCGTTGTCTTGGCTGTGTGCTTAGGGTCGTTGTCCTGTTGGAAGGTGAACCTTCGCCCCAGTCTGAGGTCCTGAGCGCTCTGGAGCAGATTTTCATCAAGGATCTCTCTGTACTTTGCTCCGTTCATCTTTCCCTCGATCCTGACTAGTCTCCCAGTCCCTGCCGCTGAAAAACATCCCCACAGCATGATGCTGCCACCACCATGCTTCACCGTAGGGATGGTGCCAGGTTTTCTCCAGATGTGACACTTGGCATTCAAGCCAAAGAGTTCAATCTTGGTTTCATCAGACTAGAGAATCTTGTTTCTCATGGTCTGAGAGTCCTTTAGGTGCCTTTTGGCAAACTCCAAGCGGGCTGTCATGTGCCTTTTACTGAGGAGTGGCTTCCGTCTGGCCACTCTACCATATTGGTGGAGTGCTGCAGAGATGGTTGTCCTTCTGGAAGGTTCTCCCATCTCCACAGAGCAACTCTGGAGCTCTGTCAGAGTGACCCTCAGGTTCTTGGTCACCTCCCTGACCAAGGCTCTTCTCCCCCGATTGCTCAGTTTGGCCTGGCGGCCAGCTCTAGGAAGAGTCTTGGTGGTTCCAAACTTCTTCCATTTAAGAATTATGGAGGCCACTGTGTTCTTGGGGACCTTCAATGCTGCAGACATTTTTTGGTACCCTTCCCCAGATCTGTGCCTCGACACAATCCTGTCTCGGAGCTCTATGGACAATTCCTTTGACTTCATGGCTTGGTTTTTGCTCTGACATGCGCTGTCAACTGTGGGACCTTATATAGATAGGTGTGTGCCTTTCCAAATAATGTCCAATCAATTGAATTTACCACAGGTGGACTCCAATCAAGTTGTAGAAACATCTCAAGGATGATGAATGGAAACAGGATGCACCTGAGCTGAATTTCGAGTCTCATAGCAAAGGGTGTTTTTTATCTTTAATCAATTTGCAAAAATGTGTCATTATGGGGTATTGTGTGTAGATTGAGGAAAATGTTTTATTTAATCTATTTTAGAATAAGGCCATAAGACATATGTTTTTTTTCAGCAACAGATTATGATTGATAATGTCAAAAGCTGAACCGAAGTCTAAAAAGACAGCTCCCACAAGCTTCTTATCAATTTCTTTCATCCAATCATCATTTGTGTCAGTGCCGTACATGTTAAATGCCCTTCCCTATAAAGCATGCTGTTGTTAATCAGTTTACAGTTAAATAAAATTGTGTCTGGTCAAACACCATTTTTTCCAAATGTTTAGGTTGATTGGTCGGCTGTTTGAACCGGTAAAGGGTGCTTTGCTATTCTTGGGTAGCTGAATGACTTTTGCTTCTCTCCAGGTCTGAGACCACACAGCAATAATGTTTCACCTCTTCCAAACTCACTTTACAGAATTCAAAATTACAATGCTTGTCTTTCATTATTAAGTCAGTTATGCATGAATATGAAGACTCTGAGTTTGTTGTTGGCATGTCATGCCTAAGGTTGCTAATTTTGGCAATAATAAAGTTATTCAAGTAGTTGGCAATATCAGAGGGTTTTGTGATGAATGAGCCATCTGATTCAATGAAGGATGGAGCAGAGTTCACCTTTTTGCCTAGAATGTCATTAAGGTTCACTACCGTTCAAAAGTTTGGGGTCACTTAGAAATGTCCTTGTTTTCGAAAGAAAAGCAAACACCAGTCTCAACGTCAACAGTGAAGAGGCGACTCTGGGATGCTGACCTTCTAGGCAGAGTTGCAAAGAAAAAGCCATATCTCAGACTGGCCAATAAAAAGAAAAGATTAAGATGGGCAGTCTGAGATATGGCTTTTTCTTTGCAACTCTGCCTAGAAGGTCAGCATCCCGGAGTCGCCTCTTCACTGTTGGCGTTGAGACTGGTGTTTTGCGGGTACTATTTAATTAAGCTGCCAGTTGAGGACCTGTGAGGCGCCTGTTTCTCAAACTAGACACTCTAATGAATTTGTCCTCTTGCTCAGTTGTGCACTGGGGCCTCCCACTCCTCTTTCTATTCTGGTTAGAGCCAGTTTGTGCTGTTCTGTGAAGTGAGTAGTACATAGCGTTGTACGAGATCTTCAGTTTCTTGGCAATTTCTCGCATGGAATAGCCTTCATTTCTCAGAGAAAGAATAGACTGACGAGTTTCAGAAGAAAGTTATTTGTTTCTGGCCATTTTGAGCCTGTAATCGAACCCACAATTGCTGATGCTCCAGATACTCAACTAGTCTCAAGAAGGCCAGTTTTATTGCTTCTTTAATCAGCACAACAGTTTTCAGCTGTGCTAACATAATTGCAAAAGGGTTTTCTAATGATCAATTAGCCTTTTAAAATGATAAACTTGGATTAGCAAACACAATGTGCCATTGTAACACAGGACTGATGGTTGCTGATAATGGGCCTCTGTACGCCTATGTAGATATTCCATAAAAAATCAGCCGTTTCCAGCTACAATAGCCATTTACAACATTAACAATGTCTACACTGTATTTCGGATCAATTTGATGTTATTTTAATGGACAAAAAGTGCTTTTCTTTCAAAAACAAGGACATTTCTAAGTGACCCCAAACTTTTGAACGGTAGTGTACTACAAAACTTTTTACCATCATCCTTTGTCATTTATCTTTGTTTCGTAGTACTATTTCTTTTTCTTTTTGTTTAGTCACATGACTTCTCAATTTACTGTATGTTTGCCAGTCAGCTGTGCAGCCAGACTTAATTGCCATTTTTTTTGTCTCGACTTAACCATACAGTTTTTCAATTCCTCATCAATCCATGGGGATTTAGCCATTCTGACAGTCAGTTTCTCAATGGGTGAATGCTTATCGATAACTGGAAGAAGCATTTCCATAAATGTTCATAAATGCTTCAAGTGCGGCATCTGGTTGCTCCTCATTAAACACAACAGACCAGCAGACATTTTTTAGATCTTCAACATAGAAATCACTAGAAAACCTTTTGTATGATCTCTTGTACACTATTGTAGGCCCAGCCTTTGGAACTTTGGTTTTTCTAAATATGGCCACTATATTATGAGCGCTACATCTGATGGATGAGGATACTGCTTTAGAGCAGATTTCTGCAGCATTAGTAAAGATGTGATCAATACACGTGGATGATTTAGTACCTGTTCTGTTTGTAAATACCCTGGTAGGTTGACTAATAACCTGAACCAGATTACAGGCACTGGTTACAGTTTGAAGCTTTTTCTTGAGTGGACAGGCTGATGAGAACCAGTCAATATTTAGGTCACCCAGAAAATAGACCTCTGTTGATATCATATACACTATCAAGTATTTCACACGTTATCCAGATACTGTTTGCACTTGGTGATCTATAGCAGCTTCCCACAAGAATAGGCTTTAGGTGAGGCAGGTGAACTTGTAACAATATTACTTCAACAGCATTTGACATTAGATCCTCTCCAAGCTTTACAGGAATATGACTGAATATATACAGCAACACGTTCCCCATTGGCATTTCTGTCTCATCTGTAGATGTTATAATCATGTATTGATTCCACTGTGTCATCAAATGAATTATCTAAGGGAGTTTCAGAGATACCCAGTATATGAATGTTAGGCCTCCCAGGAAAGCACAAAAAACTATCAGAGGTAGACATGTCAATGATATTTACATTTGAGCCAATAGTACTGGGTGAGCTGCCCACAGTGGGCTTCCTACTTGGGCAGACAGTCTGTGCTAACAGTGTAATTCAGGTTTATAGGCACAAGATTACTGATATCAACAATGTCCTTTTTTAAATCAAACTCTGCACGTTTAAGTGCAACAGCCCAGGCCTCTTACCTGATTTGAAAACCAAGGGGATATCCATATTTATGGATTTCACATTTGAACTAATAGCTCTGGTTGAGCTTGTGCTTGCCACAGTGGGCTTCCCATTTGATCTAACGGTAATGGAGCTAACAATGGGAATCAACTTTATGGGTACAAGACTATGACTGACAACACATCTTGGAATATGAACATCTGTAACAGTCTTGGGGTGGCGCTGTGATATAATGGTAGGGATTACCTGAGACAGCTTTTTTGCTCGAAGAGCGTCTGTGCTCCGTGGTAGTTGGGATGTATTCCATCCTCACTGAAACAATCCCTCAGCTTCCAGAACCGGTCAAAATTGTCAATAAACGCCACTTCCACTGAGGCACAGAACATTTTCAGCCAATGATTCATTTAGAGGAGTCTGCTGAAGCAGTTAGACCCATGGGCTATTGAGGGTAGTGGACCCGAGATAACTAGCCTCTTACTTGCATACTTTGCGGCTTCTATCAGGTCCATGAAGTCATGTTCAGGCACTCGAAGTTTGATGTCATTCGATCCCACATGAATCACCAGAGTCTGCCTCAGGTAGCTGCTTCTGGATTGTGGGAAGCTTCACTAAAATATCATGAATTTTCGCTCCAGGTAAGCAAAAGGTTCTGGCATCCTCAATAGAACTGTTTGGGGGGGGGGGGAGTACTCACCGGGAAGGCCGCTGCATCGGAGAGGGGGCTGTCACTGGGAGCGACGAGGGCCTTTATTGGCTCGGCGGTCCGTTGAGGGGGGGTGCATGATGCGGCTAGGAGTACTGTTGCCTATAGGGCCACTGCCTCAGAGAGGGGGGTTGTCGCGGGGAGCGACGAGGACCTCTGTTGGCTCGGTGGTCCGATGTCACGGTAGTCCGGTGGAATGGTGATCCTCTGTTGGGGACATCTTCTGGTCATCTCATTTTTTCCTATACGTTTGGTGATAAGTGTTTTCCCCCCTCTCCGTCTTACAGCCGGGCGCCCACTGCGACATTCCATGACAGCAAGCACAGCATAGTTTACATGCACTACGAGCCCACCACAGGCTGGCTGCTGACCTCTGGGGCCGACAAAGTCGTGAAGGTGAGACAGACGCTACCAGACACTATGTATCTGATACAGGAGGATACATTTATACAACGTATTTTCTTGGGTGCGTATATGTGTATGAAGGAGGCTGTGTTTTTTTATACACCTTATGTTTGTGTGTGTGTGTGTCAACAGCTCTGGGACATGACTCCAGTGGTCTCCTGAGGGTCATCGTTGACAGGGAGCAACATGGAGCTCCATCCACCTATCAGGTGAGAGCTTACAGCCTGGTGGCCATCATCCTGAGAGGAAGAGGGAATGTCCACAAGAACAACAACAACCTAAACAACCTACAACAGCTGAGCAACATCCACAGAACCTAGAAACACCAGGTCTTTCTTGCCTGTCCTCGTCCCTCTTGGTGACTAAACGTGCAAAGCTTTACACTGGCTGCATACATAATTCCCTATATTCTTTGGTTTATTATTATTATAATATTTATAATGTTTTGTAGTAAAGGGAACTCTGTTTACCTACTGAAGAACAAATACAGCTAGTCGGGCAAATATAAAGCTTATATTGAAGTGCCTTCCTCTTATCTTATTATAGCTTTCCCTACGATAAACAGAAAGCATGAAAAAAGTGGTTTATAAACCAATAGTTGTAAAATAAATCGAAGCACTTAATGTACCTGGGTTATGAATATCAGTTAGATATGTAACTTGTACGTACAGTAGCAAGATGGAATACTCTAATATAATCATGAAACTCCAGAAGGTCCCAAAGTTGACCTTATGAGGCTCATCGGATTTACTCTTTGCTTTTAAGCTGCTGTATAGTTGCAGTGGGCAAAATACCCCTGTTTCTGGGTGGACCCTGTTTCAGTTGAGGTGTCAGGAGGGTCATAGCCTAATGTAAGGGAATTAATCTCTTACCCTATGAGGTACGGAGCCTGCTGGTTTTCTGTTCTACCTGATAATTAATTGCAACCACCTGGTTTCCCAGGTCTAAATCAGTCCCTGATTAGAGGGGAACAATGAGGTCCAGAGGTGAATTTGAGAGGACTACTGTATAGCTTCTAGTCTCTCTGAAGGTCATCATACATACACACAGCTGGTGAACAAGTCTACATGTGGTATCTCACTGTCAGGTAATGGTTGATCGCCACAGATGTAGGGAACTTGGAGAAATAAATGTTTTTCTTTTGTTTCTTTTTTATGAATACTGTATTGCAAACTGATGTTCTAGTTTAGGCTTGCCAATTGAAATTGTAAATCATAAAGAACAAGTTCATTCCAGTAATCTTTTTATAATTTTATTGTAGAGTTATTTAAATGTCACTTAATACGCTTTTGACTTCGGTAGTGGACTTAGGGTGGCAAAATTCCAGAAACATTCAATAAATTCCCTTGGTTTTCCAGAAATCCTTGTTGGTTTCCTGGTTGGTTGTTGGATACCGGATTTCCTGCTTATTCCAGGAATCTTCCAACTGGGATTTCTGGAAAAGCAAGGAATCTATTGAAAGTTCCTGAAATGTTACACTGGATTTGTTTTCTAGGCAGAGCCACTATTGTAAAACCACAACCACAACAACCTGTCTGCATGTTGATATTTGTGTTATACAACCATAATTAGCCATGGTCATTTTTCATGAATACTAGCATGTTGATTAATCAGTCACACATATCTTGAGCCTAAGCTTATACAGATCTACTGCTGGAGAATGGCTGTATGAGGCTCTAATGCTATTTACAGTAGTAGTCAGTCACTGACTTTAAGAATTATACTATTCCTATCCGTTTCCTCATTTAATGACCTCTGTACAGTTATCATTGTTGGATGTAAAAAGGTATGAGTTCCATGTTGATTCATACACCAAGACTGATTTACAATATCTGAATGACTGCTGATATGATTTGAAATAAGTTTATCGTATTGTGTTTTTATGTAGCCTGGATACCAGTCTGTCTTTCTCTGCATTCGTCAGCGTGTTGTCATTGGTAACACTGATACTAATGTTGTTAAATGGATGAACTGTCAGTCTGGCACCCAGGCTAGTGGTTTTGTGTGGTGCAGTATGATTCTCACAGGTTGGTGCTGTACTGTGTGTGTGTGTGTGTGTGTGTGCACGTAACCCAGGGGGGGTTATCACAAAGCAAGATTTGGAATCAGAGAATCAAGAGCTACAGTGCAGTATATCTGTTTATCAAAGTAAGGTAGCTAACTCCTTGATCCTGCTCTGTGCCATTTCCCTCAGGTCTTAATGTGCGGTTTGTCCAAACAGCAGGTTATTGGAGATTTCTAGTCTGTAAGATTATCATTCCTGCATGTCTCATCCTAGTCCTAAAGCTGATCTGGGTACAGGTCATCTGAGTAGAGATGTGTGCTCATATCATTCCATAATTTAATTTCCCCTTGTACTGCTGTTGATGTACTCATGTTTGTATTTGATAAAATGTATGTGAGGTGACTGAAGGACAGGATGTGTCTCTTCTTCATGTGAATGCCTAGTATTCATGTAGACATTCAGCTGAAGTCTTAATTTAAAACAAGTTGTTCAGCTCGGAATACATATCCCAAAGGAAATAAATGATCTCACTTTAATAAATTATAATAGAAGGTTAGCCAAAATAGATAAGATCTTGCTACCATGGAAAGGTGGGTGCCTGTCAATTTGTGGAAAAATCACCCTGATTTAACTCTTTAGTATTATCCCAGTTTATCTATTTGCTTATGGTCTTGCCTACGCCTAGCGAAAAAGATGAGAGAGGCCTGTAATTTTCATCATAGGTACACGTCAACTATGACAGACAAAATGAGGAATAAAAATCCAGAAAATCACATTGTAGGATTTTTAATGAATTTATTTGTAAATTATGGTGGAAAATAAGTATTTGGTCAATAACAAAAGTTTCTCAATACTTTGTTGTATACCCTTTGTTGGAAATGACACAGGTCAAGTGTTTTCTGTAAGTCTTCACAAGGTTTTCACACACTGTTGCTGGTATTTTGGCCCATTCCTCCATGCAGATCTCCTCTAGAGCAGTGATGTTTTGGGGCTGGCGCTGGGCAACACAGACTTTCAACTCCCTCCAAAGATTTTCTATGGGGTTGAGATCTGGAGACTGGCTAGGCCACTCCAGGACCTTGAAATGCTTCTTACGAAGCCACTCCTTCGTTGCCCGGGCGGTGTGTTTGGGATCATCGTCATGCTGAAAGACCCAGCCACGTTTCATCTTCAATGCCCTTGCTGATGGAAGGAGGTTTTCACTCAAAATCTCACGATACATGGCCCCATTCATTCTTTCCTTTACACGGATCAGTCGTCCTGGTCCCTTTGTAGAAAAACAGCCCCAAAGCATGATGTTTCCACCCCCATGCTTCACAGTAGGTATGGTGTTCTTTGGATGCAACTCAGCATTCTTTGTCCTCCAAACACGATGAGTTGAGTTTTTACCAAAAAGTTCTATTTTGGTTTCATCTGACCATATGACATTCTCCCAATCCTCTTCTGGATCATCCAAATGCACTCTAGCAAACTTAAGACGGGCCTGGACATGTACTGGCTTAAGCAGGGGGACACGTCTGGCACTGCAGGATTTGAGTCCCTGGCGGCGTAGTGTGTTACTGATGGTAGGCTTTGTAACTTTGGTCCCAGCTCTCTGCAGGTCATTCACTAGGTCCCCCGTGTGGTTCTGGGATTTTTGCTCACCGTTCTTGTGATCATTTTGACCCCACGGGGTGAGATCTTGCGTGGAGCCCCAGATCGAGGGAGATTATCAGTGGTCTTGTATGTCTTCCATTTCATAATAATTGCTCCCACAGTTGATTTCTTCAAACCAAGCTGCTTACCTATTGCAGATTCAGTCTTCCCAGCCTGGTGCAGGTCTACAATTTTGTTTCTGGTGTCCTTTGACAGCTCTTTGGTCTTGGCCATAGTGGAGTTTGGAGTGTGACTGTTTGAGGTTGTGGACAGGTGTCTTTTATACTGATAACAAGTTCAAACAGGTGCCATTAATACAGGTAACGAGTGGAGGACAGAGGAGCCTCTTAAAGAAGAAGTTACAGGTCTGTGAGAGCCAGAAATCTTGCTTGTTTGTAGGTGACCAAATACTTATTTTCCACCATAATTTGCAAATAAATTCATTAAAAATCCTACAATATGATTTTCTGAAGAAAAAAAATCTCAATTTGTCTGTCATAGTTGACGTGTACCTATGATGAAAATTACAGGCCTCTCTCATCTTTTTAAGAGGGAGAACTTGCACAATTGGTGGCTGACTAAATACTTTTTTCCCCCACGGTATCAAGACCATTGCCGAGACTATGATGCAACTCAAGTTATCCATATACCCAAAAACCGCCAACCCTCTCCTGTCCTCAGTCTTTCTGCTTGGTACTACCCCATACTCACACCCTGAGAACACACTACAGTGATGATAGGTTGGGGTAGGAGATCTTCGTTAACAGAGGTGATCCCCAGACCCTATTGGTCCAGTTCTTCTCTCTAACTCTGCATGTGTTCAGTGGTGCTTGCATGTGTTCTTACCTTTTTGCAGTGGGTAACGTGGACCCAGGTTGCTCTTTCTGCTATTCTAATGGCAAAGGCAGTGACCAATATAACCTGATAGGGCCCTTCCCAACAGGCCTGCTTCCAGTTTTTCTTCTTTAGGGACTGGATGCTCACCAATCACCTGGTTAGATAGAGTGGGTCACCTTCTCCTTTAGTTCACCTGTGGGGCACAAAACCTCTGACATACGGGTGTGGTTAATAAACTATCTTCACACGTGTTCAGCTCTCAATTTCTATTTCTGACTGCATTCTCTTTCTAGACTGTATCTAAAATTATTTATTTTTTAAGTATTTTGTCCTCTCCTTCGTATATATTTATTATTTAATCCTACCATCTATCATCCCCCTTTTGACACATGATTCTGCTCATGTGTCAATATTACCACCTACCTAAACAATCACTTAGGTAATATTGGGAATTTATCATCCAATTGCCATCCTTAATTTTTTTTTTAGACTGTCCCTTGCTTCTTTATTGCTCCTCCCACTACCTTTGTCTTTTATTGCGGCTAAATTCGACTTTCATTCAGTTCAGAATCAATAGTAATCCAATCAATCAATCCCTTAAGCTAATCTCTTTCTCCTGGTTATACATTTTGTTAACCTTCAATTACCATCAGTAATCTAAAGATGGTAGTACACACAAAACATGATACAGATATCCCCAGTCCTAACCCATCAATAATTGTTTGTATCAATCTAATTCCTCATAACTAATCCATAAAACCACTCAAAATTCCTCAAGTATACAATGATTATTTAATTTATTACCCTAAATCTGCTACATGTGATCTCATCTCAAATGATCCA